GAAAGAGTCAAAGAAGCATCACCGACATCATAGCTCTCACAGAAACCAAGCTTACAGGTATGATAACAGATGCCATCTTTCCAACGGGATACCAAATCCTGAGGAAAGACAGAGGGAACAGGGGGGGGTGGAGGAGTGGCATTGCTGATCAAAAATCGCTGGAATTTTGATGAGCTGGAGAGAGGAGACAGCGGAGAAGAAAGTGATTACATAGTGGGAACACTTCACTCTGGAGGTCCCAAGGTGGTAATAGCAGTGATGTATAACCCACCACAGAACAGCAGGAGGCCAAGGCAAGAGTACGACGAGAGCAATAGAGCGATGGTTGACACACTGGCTAGAGTGGCCAGAAGAGCTCATGAATGCAGGGCAAAGCTCCTGATCATGGTGACTTTAACCACAAGGAGATCGATTGGGAGAACTTGGACCCACATGGGGGCCAAGATACATGGAGGGCTAAGATGATGGAGGTGGTACTGGAAAACTTCATGTGCCAACACGTAAGGGACACTACAAGAGAGAGAGGAGAGGATGAACCAGCAAGGCTGGACTTAGTATTCACCTTGAGTAGTGCAGATATCGAGGACATCACATATGAAAGACCCCTTGGGGCCAGTGAACCATGTGGTTTTAAGCTTCGAATACACAGTAGAGCTACAAGTGGAGGGAGAAGCAGGAAGGCCAGGACGAATGAAGCCAAACTACAAGAAAGGGGACTACACAGGAATGAGGAACTACCTGAACGGGGGTTCAGTGGGACAGAGAACTGGCAGGGAAGCCAGTTAATGAGATGATGGAATATGTAGCAACAAAATGCAAGGAGGCTGAGGAGAGGTTTGTACCCAAGGGTAACAGGATTAATGAAAAAGCCAGGATGAGCCCATGGTTTACCCAAAGGTGCAGGGAGGCAAAAACCAAGTGTGCAGGGAATGGAAGAAATATAGAAGGCAAAGGACCCAGGAGAATAAGGAGAACAGTCGTAGAGCCAGAAACGAATATGCACAGATAAGAAGGGAGGCCCAAAGACAATATGAAAATGACATAGCAGCGAAGCCAAATCTGACCCGAAACTGTTGTACAGCCACATCAGGAGGAAAACAACAGTCAAGGACCAGGTAATCAGGCTAAGGAGGAAGGAGGAGAGACAAACAAGAAATGACCGTGAAGTATGTGAAGAACTCAACAAGAGATTCAAAGAAGTGTTCACAGAGGAGACAGAAGGGACTCCAGAAAGACGGAGAGGTGGGGCACACCACCAAGTGCTGGACACAGTGCACACAACCGAGGAAGAGTGAAGAGGCTTCTGAGTGAGCTAGATACCTCAAAGGCAATGGGCCAGATAACATCTCCCCATGGGTATTGAGAGAGGGAGAGAGAGGCCTATGTGTACCCCTAACAACAATATTCAATACATCTATCGAAACAGGGAGATTGCCTGAGGCATGGAAGACAGCAAATGTAGTCCAAATCTTTAAAAAAGGAGACAGACATGAAGCATTAAACTACAGACCAGTGTCACTGACATGTATAGTATGCAAAATCATGGAGAAGTTATCAGGAGAAGAGTGGTGGAACACCTAGAAAGGATAATCTCATCAACAGCAGCCAACATGGTTTCAGGACAGGAAATCCTGTGTCACAAACCTACTGGAGTTCTATGACATGGTGACAGCAGTAAGACAAGAGAGAGAGGGGTTGGTGGATTGCATTTTCTTGGACTGCAAGAAGGCGTTTGACACAGTTCCACACAAGAGATTGGTGCAAAAACTGGAGGACCAAGCAGGGATAACAGGGAAGGCACTACAATGGATCAGGGAATACTTGTCAGGAAGACAGCAGCGAGTCATGGTACGTGCGAGGTGTCAGAGTGGGCACCTGTGACCAGCGGGGTCCCGCAGGGGTCAGTCCTAGGACCATTGCTGTTTCTGGTATTTGTGAACGACATGACGGAAGGAATAGACTCTGAGGTGTCCCTGTGTTTGCAGATGACGTGAAGTTGATGAGAAGAATTCACTCGATCGAAGACCAGGCAGAACTACAAAGGGATCTGGACAGGCTGCAGACCTGGTCCAGCAATTGGCTCCTGGAGTTCAATCCCACCAAGTGCAAAGTCATGAAGATTGGGGAAGGCAAAGAAGGCCGCAGACGGAGTACAGTCTAGGGGGTCAGAGACTACAAACCTCACTCAAGGAAAAAGATCTTGGGGTGAGTATAACACCAGGCACATCTCCTGAAGCGCACATCAACCAAATAACTGCTGCAGCATATGGGCGCCTAGCAAACCTCAGAACAGCATTCCGACATCTTAATAAGGAATCATTCAGGACCCTGTACACCGTGTATGTTAGGCCATATTGGAGTATGCGGCACCAGTTTGGAACCCACACCTAGCCAAGCACGTGAAGAAACTAGAGAAAGTGCAAAGGTTTGCAACAAGACTAGTCCCAGAGCTAAGAGGTATGTCCTACGAGGAGAGGTTAAGGGAAATCAACCTGACGACACTGGAGGACAGGAAGATAGGGGGGACATGATAACGACATACAAAATACTGAGAGGAATTGACAAGGTGGACAAAGACAGGATGTTCCAGAGATTGGACACAGTAACAAGGGGACACAGTTGGAAGCTGAAGACACAGATGAATCACAGGGATGTTAGGAAGTATTTCTTCAGCCACAGAGTAGTCAGTAAGTGGAATAGTTTGGGAAGCGATGTAGTGGAGGCAGGATCCATACATAGCTTTAAGCAGAGGTATGATAAAGCTCACGCTCAGGGAAAGTGACCTAGTAGCGATCAGTGAAGAGGCGGGGCCAGGAGCTCGGACTCGACCCCCGCAACCTCAACTAGGTGAGTACAACTAGGTGAGTACACACACACACACACACACACACACACACACACACACACACACACACCACACACACACACACACACTGTAACCACATATAGGCGAGCACACACAAATCCTAAATCCACATTGCTCACTTAAGCGAGATTAAAAAAGTTAGAATAGTTGTCAACCGAGTCAGGTGGCCATTAGGTGAAATTTTGTTCAATTAGTGCGAGGAGTAGCAAGAGAAAATGTTGAGGTGGTCTGCGAGACTAACATAATACCTGACCCATTATACTCTCACAGAATTGTATCATACGTATTATCCTTATTAGTACTGCCACAACCATCCAATTGACTCGACTAATACTGATGAATGCAGTGCATGCTTATATGATTTTGTAACTTTGCTCGAAATTGTTCCATGTAATATTAATATATACGACAACTATTGGTAGAAAAATGGGCTGGTGAGAGTATGGGCAATGAGGCTGAAAAACTATAGGGTAGATTTAAAAATATAGTATTAGTGTTCAGCAGAAGTTTATGGACATAGGGTGGGTACGGGAGTAGGGGAAGGAACGATGGGTAGAATGATGTAAAGAAAGAAGAGAGTGAGTTAGTATATAGCGTTTTTTACAAAGATGTAGTGATATAAGAGAAAAAGATATTAAGAAAGTAGTGAAGGAATGTATAAGGAGAGCGAATAAGAGAGTGGCTAAGATACTGTCAATAAATTTTTTTGAGAATATGAAAAAGTTTTGAGTGAAATTATTGAATTAAGAAAGCCTAGGGAACAGAGGGATTTCACAGTTAAAAAGAGAGTTATTAGTGGTAGCAACGCTCTTATATGGGTGTGAAGCATGGGTGGTGGATGTTGTAGTAAGGACGAGGCTGGAGGTAGTAGAAATGTCTTATCTAAGGGCAAAGTGTGATGTGAATATTCTGCAGAGAATTCTTAGATTCCAGAATGGAAGGAGGTGCGAGGTTACTGAAATTTTTATCCAGATGGCTGAGGAGGAGTTGTTGAGGTGGCTGGGACATTTACAAAATATGGAACAAAATAGGATAACTTGGAAAGCGTATGACACTGCACTGGAGGGAAGACTGGGTAGAGGTCATCTTAGGAAAAGTTAGAGGACGGGTTAAAGGAGGTTTTGTGTGCAAGGGGCTAAGACAATCAGTAAGCGTATGTGAGCGTGTTACATAGGAATGAGTGGAGACAAGTGATTTTTATGACTTGATGTGCTGTTGTAGTGTGAGCATAACACTTAAGGGGTTCATGGAAACTGGTTAGCCGCGACTGAGTGCTGGAGTTGGGAAGTGCAGTGCCTGCACTCTTTCAGAGTGCTGAAGGAGGGGTGGAGATACGTTGCACTTTTTTAACTGCAGTGCTGGCACGCCTCTGGCAAGACAACGATGGAGTTATAAAAGTTTTTTTTTTCGAGTCAGTGTGCCTTGGAGAGAAATGGCCGATTTGTCCAGGATCAGTTTTTCTCTTCCAGCCTCCTTCGCTTCCACTATCGTCGTTTAGTGTCCTCTCTTTCCCTCACCTCTTCTCGGTTAGTGCCCTCCCTCCCATTTCACTCCTCTGGTTCAATGTTCTCCCTTCTTTTCCACTCCTGTCGTTTAGTGCACTTTCTTCCATTCCCGTCTTATCTGATAGCGTTCTCTCTTCCCTTTTATGAGCCGTATTAACTTGTAAGAGCGTAACCACCAGCTTTTTTTTTTTTTAAACACAAATCAATTCTACAGCTGTATTAATTCTCCAGTGAGAGCTGGCCTGCTCGACGAGGTGTTATTGTATTTGACCTCCCTGGCTGCGAGTCAGACACTCAATTAACCTGGTCTAGCCCACTAATACTGTCTCTTGTATTCTGAGGTGTAACCACCCCTCAAGGTACGTTCCTTGATGTCGGTGAGGGGTTCTTGATCTAGGGAATTGGATATGTGCTCCAGTTCCCTGAATTAAGCGTTAATACTTTCCACCCCCTTCCCCATGTGCGCTGTATACTGGTTTAGCGCTCCCCCGTGATTATAATGATAATGTGTAACCTGCTGCTATTAGTGGCTCTTGCTATACTGCTGATTTAAGTTTGTATATATTAAGTTTGTATATACTGTATATAGTGGTGAAGGAATATACACGTAAAGGAATATTATCACCCTATGTTTGCCTTGCACTTTATTATTATTAGGTTTTTCTTTGAGTGTTGACTTTAATTACAGGGATGTGCAACAGTCCTTATTTGTTACCTGGGTTGGTAATATAGGGTTAGCCTTTACTTACGTTTGGGGTATTTTTGGGAATTTTGTTCAGTAGTGAGGGGACGTAGTATTTGTACAGCTTTGTGGACTCATCCTTGTTGCAAAATTATCTTTATTCAGTAAAGATGGGTGCATTTTACTTTTCTTTAAAAAAAAAAGAAAGATTTTCGGGCTGAAACCGTGGAATGTCCTGCTTAAAATAATCCCTGCTTTGGAATTAGAGGCAAGCATGTTTCACTTAGTGTTTATAGATGTGTTTTGAGTGTTCATGTGTGATGTTTGTAGCTGTGGGGTTTGTATATGTGTGATATTTGTACATGTTTGGTGTTTGTAGGTGTGTGGTGTTTGTGTGTGAGGTCATTTACTGTTTCATTCAAATGTAAAATGTTCTGAGGTATAGTGAATGATAAATTTTGAAAAAAAAATATTACTGCTGAAGCCATTTGACATGAACGATAGTCAGGATACCGACTGTAAGTGATGAGTGTATAAACAGTGTGAGAGAGGTGTAAATATCTCAGTGAATATACTCTAAGAGGAATATTTCTATCACGGTTAATCTCTATATAGTAATGAACAATATGCCTTAAAATATAATTATTGCTGTTCATCTGTAATATTTTTATCCTATTTTTTCTAAATTCGTTTCCGTGTTATTTGCTCTCATTTGATACATTTCATTCATCGACGAGTGGCGTTGACTGGCTGTCTGAAAATACCCATGAAGAGAATGTTGTTAGTAACGTTGTCAACAATGACGAAGACAAAGGGGCGATCACAAATGAAGACACGAGGGCGTGGTGGTTCCTGGATGGACACGATTGATACTCCTATAAATGCCGTGGCAGCGGCTGCCTCTGTGCCCTCCTCGCTGACCTCCACTATAGCTTTATGGATCGCCTTCGACACCTTTAGTTTTCCTTCAGGATCGTAGTTTGAGAGGTCAGCATCATTACTGAACAGGTCCTTGATTCCCAGGTGCTCAAGAGCCTGGGAAAGGAGAGAAGGTCAATGCAGCAAGAGAACAGCAACTTGTTTCTCAGAAGATAAATCTTTATGCCAAGCACTTAGTCAAAATGCAAAGCGGATGCGATTAGTCAACTGTGGTCGAGATAATAGCATATCCTGCAAAATAAACAATATCCTTAGCATAACACTTTGGTTTGATTAATATTTTCTCTGCATAGGTTTCTGACTATGCAAAAATCAACGAACTAAAATGCGTGCGAAAACCCTCGGTCTGTATGGAAGACAAGTTGTAAACAATATTGCACCAAAATAGGTTACACTATCACATATATATATTAGCATCCACACGAGCGCGTCAGAGGGATGTCAGAAAATGTTTCTTCAGCAATAGAGTTGTCAGGAAGTGGTAGAGGTGAGATCCATACATAGCTTTGAGATACAATAAGGCTCTTGAAACCAGGAGTGGACCTAGGAGAGACCAGCAAAGATTCTCGGCAAGGAGCTGTGATTCAACCCTTGCAACCACATATAGATGAGTATATACGGGTAAGAGAACACAGACACACACACACACACACACACACACACACACACACACACACACACACACACACAACAGGCAAGTGTTTATTGACAAGTTCTCTTGACAACTAGTAACTAATACATATAATTAGTGGTGGTCTCACATCTGAGGGAAGACAAGGACTCTGTTATTTTCACAGTGGAGGGAATCTTGATTGTTCCTGGAAGTTATTTGGATTCAGTTCAATAGAGACTATAACAATAATATTCTTGAATGCAAATGTAAAAGTATTTTCAGAAAACTACAATTCCCTTCATATTTTATCTTAAACTGAAATCTGAGACAAGAAGTTTCTTTTACTCCTACAACCGACAGCAAAGATATTAATTCTTCCCCGCTAGTCACTAACAGCACCACAAAAATGTTGTTCAAAAATGATGATGAAGTCGCTGTCATAACTTTCACCGCCATCCAGAACATTATTAGCCACAGATACAGAGGTTACAACTTTAATATAGATACTGGAGTTCAGAAAAATCCCTGTGTAAATTGCTCAAGATTTAAATAGGTGAAAGTACCGGAAATCTAATCACTAGTTTCAAGAAACACAGGTACGCAACCCGGCCCGATAAAATGAACAACGCAAGCATCCAGCAAAGCACAAATTTAAAAGAAAATGCTATAAACCTGCTGGGAAAACCATCAACAACACAGTTGGTGAACAAATCATTTTGTATAAAATGGGTTTAGAATATTTGTTATCATAGTGAAATAATCTCAGCAGATTGTATACCCACCTCGGTAAGTTCATCTGTGATAATGTGTTCCAACTTGAATTTTGGAATCCTGACAATAACTTCATTTATTCTAAGTTTATTAACTACTGCGTTGAAAGTGTCCACATTGAGACGTTGCAGCATAGTGTCAAGGGGTGTTTCAACGCTGCCTTTAGCAGCTTTGAAAGGCAGCAGCACGAACATGGAAGCCGCATCGCCCTTGTACGGCATCTCCAACACCGTCGCCCGCAGCTCTTCCGAGTCGCCTGCAAGGAAACAATGGAATGCATGTATTCTCTCGTCTTGAAAATTTTGATAATTTTCCTGTAATTTGTGTGTAAGAACTGATAGGGATGATAATGTTTATATGAAATTGTGTAGGTGTGTATCTTTAACTGGCGAGCGAGGCAGAAATTGACTCTGGGTTATCGAAGCAGATGTGAAGTGTTGCGGCAAAAATTGGAGACCATGAAATAAGTGAATATAACATGTATCAAGAAGGGTCCAGACACATTGTAAACTAGTCATAATGATAATAATGATAATACTGGATAATAATGAAGATAATATTGGATAATAATGATAATATTTGATAATGATAATCCTGGATAATTATAAAGATACTAGATAATAAAGATAATAGTGGATAATGAAGATAATACGGGATAATACTGAAGATAATACTGTACTACAGTAATTTATGTTCGCCTCCCGGTGTGAATTTAATTAAGTCTTACAACAGGTAAGGTAGCTAGGTATTGGCCAATATTAGTTGCCTGCCGATAAGGTGGTGTTAAGATATATCACCAACATGATACTTAGATTAATTTCATTATTAACTCACCGATTTTAAATTTATCAGTTTGGCGCATCATATCAACGGGGATGTTTTTGTCTGGGGTGGGGTAGAACGCCTCTTTGAGGGTGTTCGTGGGCTTGAAGGCCTTCACCTATGTTCTTCACAGTGTAATTAAACCACGGTTTTATATAGTTAATGTACACGACATGAGTTAAGTCACATAGTCTCTAAAGTTATTATACAGTCCACAAATTAAATACTGCCAGTGTTACTGGCTTGAAATTATTTTACTAATCAATATTCAAGAACTATATGTTCACATATATTTTAAGGTCTAAACGAGAGTTGGGGAGCTGAGATGGTGGGCACTGAAGGAGGGACAATAAAGCGACCTATTGTTCCTAAAGTCCAACATGTCTTCGAGGTACATCAATATTAATAAGTATAATGTGTTTTAGATGAACCAGAGTTCTCCCCAGTTATGTGAGTGAAAGGTTAATTCAAGATGGTACTTGTAAAAATTCATCCACATAAATTCTCATTCATCCCTTCTTCATTACTGTCATAATAGAGAACACTATCCTAGACCAGTGGTTCGCAGATAAGAGTCAATGGACCCCAAAGGTTCATGGTAATATTTATGGGGGTCTGTATTAGGCACTGAAAAAAATGTGAAAATTTTCAAGAAATTCAGAAACTGAAAAATACAAATAATGATGTTGAAAATGAGCAACGCGAAAGTAGGAGACTAGCTCTGAGCGTGAACGCCAGCACAAGCCCCAGTGGCAGCTTCTTTGATCACTAGGCTTCGTTTTGTCCAAAATAAAAAGAAATTAAAATTCTCTTTTATAGATGTATGAGTGTCCTTGTACCATCAACAGCACCTAGTTCTGCTGGGTGTACGGTATTTGTAAGATCGATGGTTGAGTGAATAGGGCAACGCGTACATTGCCATGTCTCATGGGGCGAGACAGTGTGACTCGGGATCGAATCTCGGCCAGCTGCAGTTTGGTAAATGATTCAGAGCCACTTGTTTCGTGATTATATATATATATATATATATATATATATATTATATATATATATAAATATATATATATATATATATATATATATATTATATATAATTTATATATATATATATAATGTCGTGCCGAATTTGTAAAACTGATCAATTAGCAAGAACTCGTTTAAAATTAAGTCCTTTCTAAAATTTTCTCTTATACGTTTAAAGATATATTTTTTTCATTATTGTTAATGTAAAAATTTAATAATTTTGCATCAAAAGAATCTTAGAAAACTTACCTAACCTTACTATAACAAGAATAATTTATTTTAGCCTAACCCAATTAAATATATTTTAGATTTGTTTACAATAATTTAATACTAAACAAACACAGTGAAATATAATTTTTTCGTTAGGTTCAGAATGATTTGGCGAAATTATTGCCTACACAAATTTTTCACTTGTCCCTAATGGCAAGATGACGTTGCTATTTAAGCCAAGATCGCAAGTTCTCCTATTCGGCACGACATATATAATATATAATATATATATATATATATATATAATATATATATTATATATATTATATATAATATATAAATAATATAAATATATATATATATATATATATATATAATATATATATATAATGTATATTACGTTAATGTAAAAGTTAATAATAAAGAACCTTAGAAAACTTACCTAACCTTTTTATAACAAGCGCAATTTCATTTAGCTTAATCCGACTTAATATATTTTTGATAAGTTTGCAGTAAGAAACCACAAAATATATTATTTTCGTTAGGTTCAAAATGATTTTTGCGAAATTATTGCATACACAAATTTTTGCTTGCCTTATTCGGCAAAAAGAGCGTTGTTATTTAAGCCACAATCGCAAGTGTAACCTATTCGGCATGACATTATATAACTGACAATTCATGTAATGGTGAATCTGTTTACACATTTATAATCCTCATATATTTTCTGTTTACACATTTATAATCCTCATATATTTTAAGTGTGAATGAATCTAGTTTATGCAATAAACTAGATTCATTCATATACCTACAATTAGATGAGTAAGACACAAAACGTTATGGAATGTTGGTAACTATAAGGTAATAATCTGTTCATATTGATGTGTTTTAAAAAAATCTGGATTTTTTTATCGCACGTGTCCGTGAGTGGGTTCGAGCACAGGTATTATTGCTAAATCCGGATATTAACTTAGATTAATTCCATTATTAACTCACCGATTTTAAAGTTATCAGTTTGGCGCATCATATCAACTGGATGTTTTTGTCTGGGGTGGGGTAGAACGCCTCTTTGAGGGTGTTCGTGGGCTTGAAGGCCTTCTGCCAGAGACCCTTGAAGTAGGCGGCGTTCACCAACACCATCTGAACTTTCTTTACATCTTCAGGTGTCACCAAATTTGAGATTTTGCCTCGAGTCTTTTCGTTCACGAATTTATTGATTGTTGCTGCTGCTTGAATCGCCTGATTAAGCAAAATATGAGAAATAAACGCGTTAGAAAGAATTTTTTTTGGAGTAGTATGAGTAAAGTTCAGGAATAATGTGAAAGTGAAGAGAGCAGATTTTTTATCATTTTATTTTCATATTTCCAGACAATATCAAGAAAGACTAATTGATTCTTGTATTTGCGTTTGAGTCTTTCTTTTGCGACTGTGTGGTAAAAGTTAGTCATTAAGTCAAGAAGACTAATATAACTTTAATAGTTACAATAATAACATAACGATGATAAAAGGAAACAAATTATAATTTGTACAGTTCGACCGACCTGTGTGAAGTCAACATTCTCCACCTCTTTGGGAAGGACGTCCCGGATGCAGTCCCGGAGAGCGAGCCTCTTGCTTACATAGATTTTGTTGGCTAAGTCTATCACATATTCACTTGTGTTCAATTGTCTCTCCTCATACCTGCATGATCACAATGAAGATAGTATTGAATAAATGCATTTGTAAACACTTATATTATGAAACCCAAAAATGTCTTAATACCCAGTCGCTATTCAAGACAAGAATGTGTAAATAAACATTTAAAAATACTAAGCACAAAACATATAGGAATAAAAAAACTAGGTAGGTGATTCCGTGCAGGAGAAGAGCTCTTGTTTAAATAAGTTAAACTGCCCACCACTGAATTCAGTCACATCTGATTACTTCTCGTTCCCCAGACTGTATGACCTTCTATGAACATAATGATCATTAATGTCAAAGAGATATGAAATTAGGTGTCAACTGAGATACGCAAGAATACTCACAAACGTTCAAGAGCCTTGTAGGTTGCCAAAGTGTTTGAAGGGCCACTCAGACGTAGGACGTTCTGTAGTTGCTGACGGGTTTGTCCAGCCGACCCAAAATAGGCTAGGACGAGGGCGTTCCAGATGCTATAAGGGGAGAAGAAAAAGTTTCCCTTGGCAGTGGGCGGGTTGAATTTCTTCAGGAGGTCCAAGCTGAAGGGGGTGATGTGCTCCAGGTCAGGGGTGAGGGGCAGGGACAGCTTGTCGTTGTCAGATATACACTGAGGACTCGCCAAACTCACTAACGCCACCAGCACCACAACTGATGACGACATCCTCGCCATTCTGTGGAGGAACAGATTATAGCAGTGATGTACAATAATGGAAAAATATCCTTCATAAGGGTGACTAATTTCTGGTGAAGCTCTCTTGATCCAAGGAACTGGAGCTATATTTCCTCCCTCGGATCAAATCTGATTACTTTCCATTCCTTAAGCCAAGGGTTGGTTAAAGACAGCGTTTGACTCCTGCCTTGGTCAAATAGGTAAACTTTTGGAAACCAGAATAGCCCAACATCAATACTTACTTAGGACAGGGCAGGAGTTGCATGCTATCTTTTTTTCCCATAATTTCTGGAAAACGATCTGCAACTTCCAGTGATGGTAATGCATCCATGATGTCTAGGAAACCATTAGAATGGATGAGAGACTGTATCTGGTACGGACTTGGGACTTGGTGAGCCTCACGATGTCGGCGTCTCTTTCAACTTGGCTACACATTATTACGTGGAAACTCCATTATTTGTACCTCGTACAGAAATAAAAATTGTATTGTATAGTATTGTAAATAGGTTGTCAGGTGCAGGAGGTGAGGTCACCTAATGTAGGGGTCTCCAGGGTAGCATCTTTTTGGCTAACATACTCGAGATAATGAAGCTACAAGATTTCTGGACTACAGTGTTACCAACAGCGACCAATGCTGCGTCAAAGCAGCCTGTTTTTTTTATGCAGACTGACCTATTTTATTACGAGTCTGTCTTCTCCCTATTCATCAAATGGCTATGTAACCTACGGTGAACCATTCATGCGTTGTGTTGTAAGTCATCCCGACCACAGGTATATTTACGTTTTCTGAGTCGCTGTATCAGATTTGGTTCTATCTCTCGCACTTATAATTTATCACATCTACTACACAGGATAATGTAGACCAGTGCATTGACGTCTGTTGTTGTGACGGTAGAACTGAGTGTTCATGGTTCGATCCACGGTGCAGGAGGAAACGTTGAGAATATTTCCTTACACTTGCTGCCCTGGTTCATCTAGTAAGTATGTACCTGAGTGTCAGTAGACGTTAGGGGGTCGCAACGCCGATACGCCTACTAAGATTAAGCTGGGCTTAATTGCTGCAAGGAAGATAAAATCTTTGTAAACGAGGCACTTGCCATGTTACTACGTCCCTAGCTACGTCGTCCCCAACCCTAAGAACAAAGCGTTTTCTGAAATTTTTTCTAAAAGAATGTATTAGTTTTGCACAAGTGTCTTATGCACAGTCTTTCGATATAGATATTCAAGGTACTTGTAGACAGTCACGATCTCTATACGCTGTAATACATTTGGGGTTTATTTTGTTAAGCTAAAGGGAGTTCGTTAATGTTGGTGAAGCTCTCTCTATTCATGGAATTGAAACTGTCCTCGACTATCTTGGATTAAGTAAATTATTTCCCATTTTCGAGGTGCTGTGTGACCCTTACATTATTAAAAATATGGAACGGAAGGGATAACACTTAAATGAAACAAATGGAAAGGAATTGAGGATGGTGAATACTGAAAGTGAAACTGAAGAGAAAACACTAAATGACAAGATGGGAAGGAAAGAGGAGGGCACAAAACGACAGTAGAAGAAGGTAAGGGAAGACATTAAACGACAGGAGCGGAAAGGAAGGGAGAACATTTAACCAGAGGAGTGAAATGGGAGGGAGGCCACTAACCGACAAGAGGTGAGGAAGAGACAGGACACTAAACGACAATAGTGGAAGGGAATGAGGCTGGAAGAGAGATGTAGATCCTGCAAAAAGGCAGGGGCTTCAGCCTAAAATTTTTTTTAGTAAGGTACAAGGAAGATGAGCGCCCTCTCAGCCATCTTCCCTCAAATCTTCGCCATATACTGTATGATAACTGAGTTCTATGTCAGTGTGAAGGAAGCTGTTCATGGTGTTTTGTGCATGAAAAGCGGGTGTACAGAATGTTGACTGCATGTAAGGTTAACATTAACGTACATACAGTTGAGTATATATCAGGAAAACTTCGGCGAGCATAAGGTTGTGTGTATGTAAGAAGATGAACAGTAGGCTGTGTGTGTGTAAGGAAGACACTGACGTATATATACTTTATGGATAGAAACATGATTTCATGATTTTTACTTGTCAGAAATGTTTCTTTCAAGAGAGTCGAATCAAAACAGATTTGATGATAATAGGAAGGAGTAAGAGAGTAGTGTTGATAACCTCAAGGCACTCCTGCGGTTGACAGTGGGACTCGTCTACAACTACAGAAATACTGGAATATCAAAATAAATTACCTGACAATCGTATCAGTCTGATCTTGTGACTGAGAAAGACACAGGAGAAACACAACACTAGCAGTACAGCTGAGGAGGATGTTGAGGCGGCGACCAGGTGAACTGAGCCAGTAACACAACAGGTCCTCTCTTATGTACGCTCCTCTGACTCCTCCCACAGGACTCCTCCAGATGGGACTGACCCCACTCTTCTTACACAGGGTCCCTCCCACCGGTGGTAAATCCCCCACGAGCCTCCCCACACCCTTGACGAATCCCACACGGGCCCATTAGTGAGAAACCTCCCACAGGAGCCCCAACCACCCGTGATAAACATCACACACATCATCTCCCTACCATAAGACTCACAGGACTCCTTCCACTCCCGAATCCTCCTACACAAATTCCCATACTTCACAGAACCACCCCCCACAGAACTCCTCCTCAACACTACCAAACTGTTAACCATCACCTGATAAACATAACCATCTGCCTCATCAAACATATCCCCGTCATCACCGGCCTTTCCCCCCTTATACACTTTCTTCTCTGTTACCTGCCTTCCAATCACCGTGCCTTCTACACTATCTGGTCTTCTCCCCACAACCTGCCTTCACCACCTATCTTCTCTCACCACCTTCCTTCTCCACACCTTTCCTTCACCACATCCTGTCTCCACCACCTGTCTCTCCACCACCTGATCTTCTCCACCACACTGTCCTTCTCCACCACCTGTCTTCTCCCACCACCTGTCCTCCACCACCTGTCTTCTCCACCTCCCTGTCTTCTCCCCACCTGCCTTCACCCACCCTGCGTTCTTCCACCACCTGCCTTCCTTTCCACCACCCTGCCATCACCAACCACCTGCCCTCACCACACCTGCCATCACCACCACCTGCCATCACCACCACCTGCCATCTCCACCACCTGCCATCACCACCACCTGCCATCTCCACCACCTGCCATCTGCACCACCTGCCATCTCCACCTGCCTTCCACCTCCTATCTGCACCACCTGCCTCCTCCACCACCTGCGTGCGGCCAGCAGTAACAGCCTAGTTGATCAGGCCCTGATCCATCGGGAGGCCTGGTCATGAACCGGGCCGCGGGGGCGTTGATCCCCGGAATAACCTCCAGGTAACCTCCAGGTAACCTGTTTTCTTCAACACTTGCATTCATCACGTCGGTTAACAAGTTTAATAATCAAGTTCTTATCTGTGGTGGGGAATCCTCGACTCTCTCCAGGGAATTTTTCTTGTGTAGTTAATGTTGTTTATATATATAGGAAAGATTTGTAGAAAGTGAAGGATTCACATCATTCAAAATTTAACATATAACGTAAATCACATACAAGTGAATATTAAAAATATGCTCGAACCATTATAAAATCACATATTACGTTAATAGTGTACAAATTACACTGATCACTATAAATAAGATTTAAATATATAGTATTAACGTAATGCATTACACTACTGCTTTCATATACTAACATAGCAAGATATATACAAAGAGGTGCATGTCTTTCACGGAAGGTAGGGCATCTAGTTCCCGTTAATCTAGTATATTAACACATTTAATTCACATTAATTACCATGTTCTTGAATGGTGATGATAGGTGATAAGCAGTGAAGGTGAACTCTGTTCATGGTCACAAAAGTAGATATTGGTAAACTATATTGTGTATATATTATATAGATTATATATATATATAATATATATATAAATATAAATATATATATATATATATATAATATATATATATAACACTGATCTCTGGCTGAAAGGAGACACTAACCTTAGGACAAGGTACGCAGTGCTTTACCAATCTACCCACACTGGACAATACCATGGCGTGTAGCAGCTGTAAGCTGAAAGCTGGCTGCCTTGGATCAAACGTGTAGCGCAAACTACACGCCAAGGTATTGTCCAAGTGAGTGGGTAGATTGGTAAAGCACTGCTTACCTTTATTCTAAGGTTCGTAAGGTTCGAGTCTCCCCCCCCCCCTTCAGCAAGATCAGTGTTTTATTATTATATATAAATATATATATTGTATATAAATAAAATAAATATATATATATAATATAAATATATATATATATATAATAATATATATATATATAATATATATATATATATATATGTCGTGCCGAATATGTAAAACTGGTAATAGAAGGCAACCTCATTTAAAATTAATGTCCTTTATCCTAAAATTTTCTCTTAACATTTAAAAATATATTTTTCTTATTAATGTTAATGTAAAAACTTTTAATTTTGCTCCAAAAGGAATTCTTATAAAACTTATCTAACTATTATAGAGAAGAACAATTTTATTTTAGCCCTAACCCAACTAAATATATTTTAGATTTTTTACAATAATTTAATACTAAACAAACATAGTGAAATATATTTTTTTCGTTTATGTTCATTAATGATTTTTGGCGAAATTATTGCATACACAAATTTTCACTTGTCCTATATGGCAAGATGAATCGTTGCTAGTTTAAGCCAAGATCGCAAGTTCTCCTATTTCGGCACGACAATATATATATATATATTATATATATAATATATAATAATATATATATATATATATATATATATATATAATATAAATATATATAATATTATATTGATGTGAAGCATGGGTGGTAAATGCAGCAGCGAGGAGACGGTTGGAGGCATTGGAGATGTCCTGTCTAAGGTCAATGCGTGGTGTAAATATTATGCAGAAAAATTCGGAGTGTGGAAATTAGGAGAAGGTTGTGAGTTAATAAAAGCAATTAGTCAGAGGCAGAAGAGGGGTTGTTGAGTGTGGTTTGGTCATTTAGAGAGAATGGATCAAAGAAATGAACAGGAAAGCATATAAATCTATAGGGGAAGGAAGGAGGGGGTAGGGTCGTCCTCGAAAGGGTTGGAAAGAGGGGTAAAGGAGGTTTTGTGGGCTAGGGCTTGGACTTCTCCAGCAAGGGTGCATGAGCGTGTTAGATAGGAGTGAATGGAGGCAATGATACTATGGGACCTGAACGATCTGTTGGAGTTGAGCAGGGTAATATTTAGTGAAGGGATTCAGGGAAAACCGGTTATGTTCATATATCGGACTTGAGTCCTGGAAATGGAAGTAACAATGCCTGCACTTTAAAGAGAGGGTTTTGGGATATTGTCAGTTTGGAGGATATTGTTGTGTATCTTTTATACATATATGCTTCTAAGACTGTTGTATTCTGAGCACCTCTGCAAAAGCAGTGATATAATGTGGTAGAGTGTGGTGAAGTGTTGAATGATGAAAGTATTTACTATTTGGGGATTTTCTTTCTTTATGGGTCACCCTGCCTCGTTGGAGAACGGCCGACTTGTTGAAAAATATATATATAAATATATATAGAAATATAAATATAGTAGTATTATATTTTAAAAGTAGTGTTGAGGCGGGCTGAGTGGCTTCTTCTACAGAGCCGGTCCCTCCTCCTGAAAGGGGTGGCGGCTGGTGGCTTCTTCTACAAAAAAGAGCGTACGTCCTCCTGAAAGGGTGTCGGCTGATGGCTTCCTTTTCACACCTATGTGCTAATGACCTTGACCTCGCCCTCGAGAACACCTCACCCTCGAGACCACTTCTCACTCTCGAGACCACAACCTCACTCTCGAGACCAGCCTCACCCTCAAACCCCCCACCCCCCCCCCGGCGCCCCCCCCGCCCGTCGCGCCGACCCACCGGCCCCGCAGCGTCCCCGCGCCCTCGCCCGCGCCCTCGATCCCCTCGCGCCCCGTCCCGCGCCTTCTGCTGCGCTTGCTGCAGCGTCGTCCGGATCGCCCCCAGCCCCGAATATTTTTTCCGTTTTTTTCAATTTTTTTTTGAAATTCATTTTCTTATGATCTCCATCTCCTCGTATCAAATTTTTGAGGTTCCCCCCCCTCCCTCTTTCAACCCCATCCCAATTTTTTTCGAATTTCATTTTCCTTATGATCTCCTTCGGATCAAAGTTTTTGTGAAGGTTCCCCCCCTCCCACTTTTCATATCCACCCCCATCCCCAATTTTTTCTCGATAATAACAAGTCCGCCATACTCTTGGAAAAAAAAAAAATCTAGGTTTTCCTCGATAATACCAAAGACTTATCTGCTCCAATTCCTCGGATCAATTTTTTTTTCTCGATAATACCAAAGACTTCCATCTTCCTCGGAATTAAGGTTTTTTTGGGATTCCCCCCCTCTCAGGGTCAAGCATTCAAATGAACTCCTCCTATTGGGCATGGTACTTTCTCTTACTACAGGTCTAAACAAATGTGACGTCAGTATTCCTCTCATTAAGTTAAACTAAAAAGTGTGTTTACTCGGCGGTCAGTGACGTCACGTGATCTGACACATACAGGCTGAATCTTGTCGACTTTCCCCTATGTCAGTGACGTCACGCGATGACCCCGCACACACAGGCTGAATCTTGTCGACTTGCCCCTACACATTTCATATACAACATAGGGAAAACATTTTCACTCTTAACCCAGGATAATCCAAATAATTCCACAACCATCCACAATTTCTTTACAAAATACAACACAAGTCTAGACATTTTTCTCGTTTTAACTATTTCATCTCAGGTCCTCCCAACGAAGTAACCTTCTCTCTATCCCATCCTTCCCCAACCCTCCCGACCCTCACACTCTCCCAACCACACCTCACAATTTTCATTCATAACCCCCCAATTTTTCTCCTCGTTTTTAAAACCTATTTCATCATAAATCACCACAAAACTTATAATACCCACTTTCGATAAATTCGACTAGTCACAATTTTAACATATTACGAAATTTAATATGCACACACACCTCACTTTACTTTGAACAACCCTCAAAAACACGCTCATAAATCATTTGAATACCACAAAATAGCGTTTTTGAACATTTCCAAACAATACTGAAACACTTCCAAAAAATCATTTTTGAAGTACTCCCAAATAAGATTTGACAGCTCTAATTTATCTGCACTTACACATTTCAGTAAAATTAACAACTCATCCCCCAAACTCCTCCCTCAGTCTCCAGACTTCACAAACATTATCACAAAACTAACTTCAAACACGTTACTTGAACATCACAAAAAACAACAACCACAATTACCTTTAAATACACCAAAACATCATTCGAAACACGGCCCCAAATCACCTCTGAATA